AAACCATTAATACTACAGAATGGATTTATTTTTTAAAATATTCCTTTGCATTTTGTGGGTCTGCACTTCTAGCATTGGGTAAGCATACCATATATATCCTCAAAAGCATGGTTTTGTGTGTTTGGTTACAGTGACATCGAGTGTTCCTTCAACGTAATATATTGGATACCATAAACTGAAATGACTGTATGGATTAGCTAAGAGATGTAAATCAGGGTAAAATTAACTAAGAAATTAGTTTCTCTTTGCTTTATATCTTTATTAGATGAGAGACACCTGTAGAATACTACGATTAACGAGCCACAATTGATGCATGTTCACTTCGAAGCAAGACTTGTCTGTGCTTGGAATCAGGATTTTGTCATATTGTCTTTTCTTGATCATCATAAAAATTACTGGAAGCCTCAAACAATAGTTAATCCCCTCCACCCCAAAGAAACAGATGAAAGCCCCGAGGAAAATATTTGAAAAAGGCATTTACAGACATTTCTTTAAATATATGCTAACACTGAAATCAAATAATGTTTGGTGACTAAATAATCAACCTCATTAGTCACACTTTCGATTTGGATTCTTCTACTAGCCTTAAAAAGTAACTGTTAATTAGGTTAGGTTGGAATAAATGTAATGGGTATAGATGCTCCTGTTCCAGCTATAAATTAGGTAATAGCCAAAGGTAGAATTTTTTTAAAGATATAATTTAGCATGCTAATGATATTTAATTATTAGATGTAAAACTGTAAAAAATATGTTTTAACATTTACCTTTGTCTGCTTTCTCTTGTGGAATGGGGAGTTCCATCGTCTTTCAGGCTATAGCCTTTACTTCAGGCTATAATTATCATTTTGGCAAATGCAACTCTAATATTGAAAATGAAAGCATATATAATGAGAAAACTGATAGAAAAGTTAGTTGCATATTAAACTGAGAGGTGTGGGGATAGTCTTTTCACTGTATGCAGGTACTTTTGTAATTTTTCTTCTGCATGTACTCCTTTGGAGGAAAATATTTTAGATTTATTTAGTTACAGAAATTTAAAACTTAGATATAGACAGACTGACATTTCATAACAGGCAGTCCCACATATCTTTTAGGTACGGAATTCAGGGAATGCACTTAAATAAAAAAGAATTAAAAAGTTAAAATATATTCTTTTTTAAACTTTTTATTTAAGACAGTTGTATAAGTATTTTCTTCTGTGCTAAAACACTGAAGAAAACTATAATGTTTAGAAGGCTAAACAAGTTATTCTATCTAGCTGTCAAATGGCCTCTTTATTATTTAAATTCTAACACAAAAGCCTGTTTTAACAGTGCAAACTTATGCATACTTATTTTGAAACATGTCCAATTGAATATAGTGGGATCTACTTTCAGAGAAATAGGTAAAAGATTGTAGCTTTATAATACAATCTTCTATACATTACTCCAAAGTAGGACTCAGTAAATTCAATGGGATTTAACTTTGTGTTAGTTTGCATAGGATTAGAATTTGGGGTATCTAATATTAGTGGACTTCTAATAATCCTAATGTAATAATGTAGTGTTTTACAGTAGAATCCTATGCCGTGGTTAGCACAGTGAGTTAAACCGCCAGCTACAGAAGATCTTGCCAACTAGAAGGTTGGCAGTTCAAGCTGTGGGTTGGGGTGAGCTCTTGCCATCAGCCCTAGCTTCTACTTACCTAGCTGTTTGAAAACAGCAATGTGAGTAAATAAATAGGTACTGCGTTGTTGAGGAGGTAAAAGCACCCGATGCTGGAGATGAAAAAAGAGGGAAGACTTGCCTCTGTCTGTGTACTGTCTATCTTTGTTAATTGTTTAACGGCATTGAATGTTGGCCATATATGTATTCTGTAATCCGCTCTGAGTCCCCTTAGAGAGATAGAGAGGAATATCAATAAAGTACATTAACTATAGTCTATTATTTTGCCAATTTATTCAGAAGAATGTTTCTGTCTATAGGATTGTTGTTACAGATGGTTCATTTCAAATACCTGTAGTACAATTTAATTATGCTGCTTTTAAAAAACAAAAACCTATAAAACCTTATTAAAATCATGATTGCTGTCATACTAATTATTACAAATAATTATTTCGAAGTTCCATCTTTTTCAAGTACAGGGAGTTCCCGAGTTACAACCAACTCATAATTAAGAACAGAGGTGAGACCACAGGAAGTGAGACAAATATCCCCTTGGAAGGGAAATCCACTTCTGAAAGAGTTAATATGGCAAAAAACTGAAGCTTCATCACCAATCCTTGTTTCCACAACATTTTTCTTTCTAAAATCAAATTATCACAGAGACAGAAAGTGATGTGAAATCTTCTGAACAGGAGTACAGACAGCAAAACATACACCAGAGGGGTGTTAACACTTCCCTATGCTACATATTCAAAACACACACACAAACACACACACATATAGGTAGATAGATAACTAGATATAGGTAGAAATAAATAGATGATAGATAGATATCTGGAGTCACACTTAATTAAGTTTACCTGTTCCAACTGAAAAACAAATTCAGCTTAAGAACAAACCTATAGGAACCTATCTGGTTCATAACTTGGGGACTGCCTGTATATAAAAATATTGACAAAATTTCTTCAGTGTTAACGTTTTTTTTAAACTTATATCTATATACAACTTTTGCAAATAAAATAGTTTCACAGTGCAAGCTGATATATTTTGTGATAGCAAGTAAGCTATTCGCAAAAGTACCACCACTGAGTTTTTAATGTCACCCAAACAGCCTTTGGGCTTCATTATACCAGTGTTAAATATTTCTGCAGTAGTCCTCAAGCTGAAAACCTTATTAGCAAAGTTAAACTCATCTAGTTAAATGGAATTACTTTAGAAGATATATGTTTAAAAGAGAGAAAGAATTTAAATACAAAATCGTTAAAACAAGTACAATGTTTGTTCTCAAAGAAGAGCATATGGTTACAAGGGTATTCTCCAATATTTTTATAGTTCAAGTAAAATAACTTTACTCACATTGTATATTAATACTAAGTAGGAAATTTCAGCTTTGAAGACTTCATTATATCTCCTGCGACACTTTACATACATCTCCTTAAAAACTTATCTGCTTATTTATGTTTTTCCTCCTTCAAATTATGTTTCCCCCTTTAATCTAATTCCAGACTTTGCTGTGACAAATTAACTTTCCTGCAGGTTATGTTGTCTGCTTAAAACCTGGTAATGAAACAAAATCTTCAGACAGGATTACAAGAGAAGCAGCCATTCAAGGCTGCTCCTCTTGTATTTAATTTTTAATTTTAATTTTTAAAATAAAGATCTACTGAATTATAAGATATGAATCTTCCAATGACAACCCTGCCCTTTTAGACCACATATTAAAGAGAAACCAGGAGCTTTGAGGCTCTCAAAACCGCTCAAGGTAGGTAATATCTGTCAAGGAATTTTCTTGATAGATTGAGGCAGCATATAAACTTCTACCAGGTGCAAGGACAGCTTCCCATTCTTTTACTGGGAACCTATACCAAACATTTATACTGTTCATAAAGGCCCTCCTCCCAATTAGATTCAGTGGCTGTCCACACATGGACCCAGCGGGTGTCACCCAGTCATGAAAGTCATGGTTGCTACCCACACGGGTCTCCTTCCATTCCACAGCAGGCCATAGTATTGTAGCTAAAGTATCAGGAAATTTGAAATAACCAGGGACTATTTAAAAAAGAGCAATGAAAACAACTGCATGCTTATAATGAAACCACATGATTCAAAGGGTTGTTTTAATTGGGTAATAAAGGCAGCTCGGGTGAGCGCATGTGCATTAGAAGGTTCAAAACATAAATTAGTTTAGAGTTTTAGTCTTGTAGGCATGTTGGTTCAGTACAGGTTAAAGCTAGGGTTATGAAAAAAAAATGTTGCAATCACATCTAACTACAGGGATTTTGTTTTGGTTTTTTTAAAACTAAAAACAGTAAATTTCTGCTAAAATACAGCACAAATTTTTAATAAACCAACATTTTGGTGTCACCTGGTGTGGTTCATCATTCAGTAGTTGTCATATTGTTTGATGTGAATTGTTTTGCTATAATTTGTTTGTATGTTTTTCCTTTTTGGCATTAAATGTTTGCCATATATGCTGGAAACTGCCAAGTCCCTTAGGGGAGATAGGGCGGTCTACAAATAAAGTTTTATTATTATTGTTGTTTGTTATTTGCTGTCCTCCTTCCACTTCACCATTTGCTTCTCTGTACACTTACTATACTTACTATAATTAAATGCAGGGTTAAATTGACCTGTTTTCACTCCAGGTTGGAGTGGATTTACACTGTAGAATTAATGTAGTTTGATACTACTTTAACTGCCATGGCGGAATACTATGGAATCCTGCAGTGAGGCACCAGCACCCTTTGGCAGAGGCAGTTAAAGATCATGTGAAACTAAAACTCCCATTGTTCCATAGCATTGAGCCATGACATCTAAAGAAGTGTGAAACTGCATTAATCCTACATTCAGGCATAGGCAAACTTTGGCCCTCCAAGTGTTTTGAACTTCAACTCCCACAATTCCTAACAGCCTACTGGAGGACCAAAACACCTGGAGGACCAAAGCTTGCCCATGCCTGGTGCAGATGCATCATGAGTGAAGCACAATGAAATGTGTGCTGGACTTGGACCACTTTGTGGGTTTGTTCTCCTTTTATTTGGCATATTAGCTTATATGGCGCATATGAACAGTCAGAAGAAAAATATTTCAGATAGTGCAGTAGTCATGCCATATTTGAATGATCTCAATATGTGGTAGCCATTTCAAAAATTATCAAACAATTTTTTTCATTAATGTTTTGATTCATATGGAATTCAGTTCTCCTGAGAGTGAAGAAAAAATGAGTGTTTTGTCACTTATTTTGTGCATGTAAAATGTTCCTTACACCTATGAGGAACACAGTCTTTCTTTTTCTAAAAGCCTTTGGAACAATTCTTTCCTTCATATAATCAAAATGGCAGGTTTATGCCCAGTTACCTTTTAAAAATTCTTCAGTCTACTTCCGGTTATATTGCATCTGAAAAAGGATGGGATAATCTGTAAGAGGAATACCATTTTCAAATGTGAAACCAATTCATAACTTCCCTTTCAAAAAGATAGCCTTGATGCATTTCCATACAGCAGGTGGCCTTCCCCCCACTGAGATTTTAATATCATTCAAGGAGTTATTCAGATTCCAGATTTTCAAGAAATGGAACTTAGATTAATTTTATTTTAGGTTATAAATGTAATAAAGAATCCATATGTTAATGTTGTTGTTAATTTGCTTTAATTCTACACTGTAAGATGCCTTCCTTCATATATGAGGAGAAAGGCAGGATATTAATTAATGACATAAAGAAATAACCATTTTAATGCTGGGCAATGCAGCATCAGCTGTGCATTTTCAAAATAACTTCATCTTTTGATACACTGGACATCTGTATAGTATAGGGGCCACATTAGCACAGTGGGTTAAACCTCTATCTGCAGGAAATCGGCTTACTGGAGGGTTAGCAGTTTGACGCCACGAGATGGAGTGAGCTCCCCGCTGTTAGCCCTAGCTTCTGCCTACGCAGCAGTTTGAAAGCATGTAATATGAGTAGATCAATAGGTACTGTCTCAGCGGGGAGGTAAAAAGGAAACCCCATGCAAACATGCCAGCAATACAATCAGAGAAATCTATGTACAATAGGTTCTTTGGCATGGAAAAATTGAACAAGAGCACCTTGTCATGGCTGGAATTGAGCATCACCTCCAGACACGGTAAATGGAAGCGGAAGGCCTTTACCTCTGTCTGTGTATTGTATGTCATTGTTTACTGTGTAAAAAGGCACTGAATGTTTGCTTTATATATGTAAAACTGTAATCTGCTCTGAGTCCCTCTGGTGAGATAAAGCAGAACATAAATGAAGTGTGTTTGTTTGTTTGTTTATAGTATAGCATAATATAACAATTCCAAGTGATTCTTGGACATATCTGGGCAGGGGACTAATCCTCTGCTTTAGAACCTCATGGCATTCTGGCTATAGGACTGGGCTCCATGTACTGTACCTACAGCAAACACTTTCTATAGCATGCCACAAAAGTCACCTGTAAAATGCCTAGAAACTGTAAACAGATAGAAAAGCTATCAAGTAAAAACTTGCATTTGCATCTAATTTAATATCTACTGAAGGCAGGAGTGTATTTAAAATCTCATCTATTATACATGGTCCAGCTGGAATTCTGTGCACATTATCCTTTCAAATCCTTTCACCGTGAAGACATAGCGAGACATTTGCAGGTGAGAGCACTTAAAGACAGGATCAGGACCCAAGTGCCCAAAAGGGCTTGAAATATTTGGCAACCAAATTCCAGGATGTATAGGGTATTGGCTTTGTCATTTGCAATATTCAGTCTACAGGAGCAGGAGGTGAAAATATGTACAGCTGAACTGATACTCCCATTTGCTGATTGTATGTTTCATCTTCCCAACAAATGCCATTCGTTTCCTATTAAAAAACATCAAAATTAGCATACAAATAGCAGCCCTTATGAGGTCAGTTTAAAAGAGCATTAAAAAAGTCTTTCTTGTTGTCCTAAAGAGATGGATCAATAAAATGCACACTTCCTTCTCCTGTCATTCATTAGTTTCAACACTTCTAATTTAATTCAGATCACGTTTATTTATTTATTTACTACATTCACATACTGCTTTTCTCCCCTAAGGGAACTCAAAAGCGGTTTCTAGAATAATAAAGGCAAAATTCAAGTTGCCAGAACTTAAAAGCAATAGAAGTCCGTGAATAGGTTTATTATTACACAGAATGCAATTGATTGCATTACATTGCCTACCCTGAAGCACATCCCCCCACCCATAGGGCCCATTCACACTTTCAACTTGTACTGCTCTTATTCCTCTTTAGCCAGCATGGTTCGATCCCATGAAATTCTGGGATTATAGTTCAGTGATGCCAATTGACTTTTCTGGCTGGGAATTCTCAATACCTTTTCCTAGTCCACAAATTCCAGGAGTCTACAGGATGTTGTCAGGACAGTTAAAGTGGAATGTGACACTATGATTGTGTTAGTGTGAATGAGGTCCAAGTTGAGCTTTGCTTTTGTATAGACATTTCTTTCTGTTAATTCTTCCTGCTCCTCAAAAATTGTGTCCCCACTACTCAAAAGGAATTGCCCACGGCTCCTGCTATCACAGGATGGCCAGAAAATCGACACCATAGGGAATCATCATCATAATCATCACCATCATTAAGAGCCCCAGGTTGCGCAATGGGTTAAACCCTTGTGGCAGCAGGACTGAATCCAGAGAGATTCAGTCCTGCTGGCATGGAGAGCGCGGATGAGCTCCCTCTGTCAGCTCCAGCTTCCCATGTGCGGACATGAGAGAAGACTCCCTCAAGGATGATAAAACCTCAAAACATCCAGGCATCCCCTAAGCAACATCCTTGCAGACAGCCAATTCTCTCACACCAGAAGCAACTTGCAGTTTCTGACATGAAAAAAAAATCACCATAATTTATTTGTTACTTGCATTTCTCCATGAACCAAGGAAGGAAAAAAAGCACGCAGTCAGAGTATCACTTATCTGAAATGCTTGGGATCAGAGGATTTTGAAATATTTGCATGCACATAATAAGATATCTTGGAGATGGGACCAAGGTTTAAACATGAAATTCATATGTGTTTCATATGCATTGTACACAAATAGCAGAATATAATTTTATACACAATATTTTTAATTTTGTGCACAAAACAATGTTTTTTTCTTTCAGGTGTCCCACACAATAATATTTATTTTCCAAGTAAGCAATGACTGAGGCTACATTCAACCTAAGAACCTGGTATATGGGCTTCATTCATTTCAATAAGGGATATCCAGAGCATCATGTTAGCAACTAGGAAGAAAAATTATGGTATTACCAGATTCTGGTTTCAGTGTACATCAGGTTGGTCTCAGAATTGCCCTTGATTAAACCATTCCAGTTAGTCTGGACCTCATATTAATGCTATTCTTCAGAAGAATTTCTACCAGAATTAAAGTAAAAATGCATCCTTCTGCTATCATGTCCATCAAATTCATGGCTATATTTTAGCATCTAATTTACAGTCCTCAAACTACAGACATCATGATTATTGGGCATGAATATTTCTAAACATAATATTTCAATTGTCATCAGTAATTATTATAACAGTAAGAAATTTTACTTTCCTAGACAGATGTAGAGCTAATAAGTTCATTTCCTTTCCCATCCTTTCCATCTTTTGGTAAGCAGTGCTCCATGAAAAAATTACCTATGTCCATTGCTATCACACTGGGAGCACAGAATTTGGATGGCATGCTGCTTAATCACTGGAAGACTATATGAGGGCAAAAATGGTTGGGGATTTTTACTATCTTAGCCATTTACAATGGTCCCATGGTGTTCACTGGGGTTTGGTTGAAAGATCGTCCAGGGATGCTCAAATCCCATTATATCCATTAGTATAGGAAAATGGTGTCCATGATATAAAATGACTTAATCACGGCCTGTTTTTTGGAATTCTTAATTTTTTTTCCTGAGACGTGGCTAGCGGAATCTTGGCATATAGAAACCACTGATATGAAGGGTTAGATGTATTCAGTGTTGGGTGTTCAGGTTTAACCAAAATGTATATAGTACAACTGATAAAAATAGTGGAAATTGGATGAAACCTTAAAGGCATACAGCACAGATCACTGAGCTGAGGAGAGTTTACACGGGCTGGAAAATGGTATTACTCTGGGTGTGTATCTACATTCCACAGTTACAGCAATTTGCTGCCATCTTATCTATCATGGCACCATTTTACAGAATCCAAGGACTTGTAGTTTGGGGAAGTACATGGACTTTTATGCCAGACAGACCTTGTGTTCTAGTTCTGAAGAGCTGCACTGAAGTTCTCTGGTAGAGAATACTAAGTACCCCACCAGGCTACAAATACCAGAATGCCGTAGGATGGAGCTATGACAGTTAAAATGGTATCAAATTACTATAATTGTACACTTTAAATACAGTCTTTATCATCTCTGCAGTGATGATACAGCTTTAGCATTCCCTAATATTCATCTGTGTAGTTCTGTATGAGTTCTGTTTGTTCACCTTGTTGGATCACAACCAGGGTCTATGATGTGTTTTGGTTGCATATGACTGGCAAGCATTCTGCCTACTAGCTCAGCACTCATATACATGAAATGCCAGTAAAACCAGTGGGATGAATGTGATGTTTTGGCAATGACAGTGTTTTGTTTTGAGTTGTGCCTGCATATTGCAGACAATCCTGACTAGCCTAGACATTACTCAGCTCATGTAAGTATTGCCACAAGTAAATATCAGCTTCTCTACACCGTGCATGTAGTTAAAGCAAGGACAAAACCATTTCTCATTCAGAAAACAGTATAGTTCACAATAGTTTTTAAATTAAAAAACACAATATAGTATAGTTTGTGAAACTCAAACCTACCAGGAGAACAGGGCCATTTCTGAAATCTTAAAAGCCAGATCATTCTCACCAAGTTCAGCACTTAGAAAAAGTGACTTGATTGGGCTAGCTTTCCCGTAATGCCATGGCTGCCATGTCAAACTCCTCATGTTTGGGAAGAAAGAGAGAAAAGTCTGCTTGCAGTATACTACAGAAACTCTAGAAGGAAAATTATTAAATCATAGCATTTCCAAATATTTTATATTTCTTAATTATTGCACTTCCAAAGCCAATATTCATTGGTTTGCTATATTATATTTAGGCTGGACAGAATGTGGTTGATCAGAGTGTTTGACACCTGGACTGTTGACAATTTCAAACAAATAATAAAAAAGGAAAGTCATAAAGGGATTGTGGCGCAGCTGGCTGAGTGTCAGCTGCATTAAGATCACTCTGACCAAAAGGTCATGAGTTCGAAGCCAGCCCGGGCTGGAGTGGGTGTCCAGCCATTGTGTAGCCCGTTGTTGACCTTTGCAACCCGAAAGACAGTTGCATCTGTCAAGTAGGAAAATAAGGGACCACCTTGTGTGGGAGGCTAAAATTAACTAATTTATGAGGCCATAAAGAAAGAAGACTCCGGGGAATGTGGAATGCGGAAGAACTTCATCGATGTCATTGATGGACGATGAAAAAGCAGCAGCTCCCCTGGCGGCCAGAAAAAAAAAGTTAAATAGCCTTTGTCTGTTAAATGTTGTTTGTCAAACTGGCATTGAATGTTTGCCATATATGTGTTTACTAGGGCTGTGCAATTCGTTTCGTTAATTCGTAATTCGTTAAAAAATTCGTTAATTTTTGAATTACAAAACGATTACAAAACTTATTTTTAAACCTGGAAGTGTTTTTAAATATCGAAACGGCAGGCGCCAAAAAATTTTGTATTTCCGTCCATTTCGGAAATACGTAAGATGGCCGCCTGGCTTGCTGGGAGCTCTCCTCTCTCCGCGCCGGCTGAGCAAGCGAGCGAGAGGGCGAGCGAGAGGGCGAGCGAGAGGGCGAGCGAGAGGGCGAGCGGCGAGCGAGAGGGCGAGTGAGAGGGCGAGCGGCGAGCGAGAGGGCGAGCGAGGCGAGCGAGAGGGCGAGCGAGAGGGCGAGCGAGAGGGCGAGCGAGAGGGCGAGAGGGAGGTCTCCTTCTCTTTCTTTCCTTTTCTCTTCTTTCTCTCTCTCTCACCTTTCGCAGGGGGGTTCTGAGCTCTCTTCCAAAGAAGGCTCCCCTTTCTTTCCCTCCTGGTTGGAAAGGCAGCCCCCATTGTGCCCTTCTTTCTCAGCCATGGCAGAAGCAGATCAGCAGAGCCTTGGAAACGTCTCACTTGCTTCCTCTTCTCTCTCTCTCTCTCTCTCTCTCTCAATTCGAGGCAGGAAACCCCTCCATCCTGCAGCCATCTACACTGCAGCCTGGATGAGGTTTGGCACCACATTGGCTCAATGCTGTAGCATCCTGGGAGTTGTAGTTTGGCAGCCTGGGAAAAAGAGCCCCTCCTGGAAGGAACCCATCCTAGCGAGAGGGCGAGAGGGCGAGCGGCGAGCGAGAGGGCGAGCGAGCGGCGAGCGAGAGGGCCCGCCAGAGTGAGTGCCTGCCTTCCCTCAATAATAATTTCTCCTCCCTATTCTACTAAATTAATAATTAAATTTAAAAAATATTTAAAAAATATTTTTTAAAAAAAGGGCGCCATCTTTACAAAATGTTTTGTAAATATTTACGAAATTTCGTAAATACCGAAACTTTTTTTTGGAAAGTTTTGTAATTATTTTAAATATCGAAACAAAAAAAAACCCCAATTACAAATCGATTTTAGAAACAAATTTTTTCTTGATCAAACAGGCCTAGTGTTTACTGTAATCCGCCCTGAGTCCCCTGCGGGGTGAGAAGGGCGGAATATAAGAACTGCAAATAAATAAATAATAAAATAAAGGGTTTTTTTTAAAAAAAGTAAATATATAAATAGAATATGTGCTGAAAGATTAATATTAACACCTAAAACAATGTGTCCTTGATATCTACTGGGGCTTGGCTGCACTTGGATACCAAAATCTGTGGATACTCAAGTTCCATTATATACAATGGTAAAATGACGTTCCTTATATAAAATGGCAAAGTCAAAGGAACTATTTAGAATTTGTTTTGAGGGGGAAGACATGTTTTTAAGCCATTGCTGAATACATGGATGCCAAATCTATGGATATGGAGGGTCAATTTCCTGTTGAATTCAGATGGAACTGGAACATTGTCAGAATGATAAATAAATGTGCTTTAGATGTCTTATTGCTGTAACTTTATATGACATTTAAATAAATGGTTATCTCTCTTATATTATGATCCTTTCCATTAAAAAATATCCCCCTTCTACCTCTATATCTCTGTTAGTTCAATTATTTTGCCAATAATGACAGTATGTGTGTGTCCAATTCCAGGGCGAATCACTGGGGCATTATATTCATGATTCTGCCTGTAACAATTTAAAATATCAGATCTAAAGAAGCTTTCCTGCAGTGTGGAAACAAAGCTCAGAAGTGATATGTTTTAAAGACTACGCCTCCCAAAATCCCCAATGTGCAATGATTATTGGATGTGCTGCCAGAGAGATTCTATAACCAGAAAACCAGCTTTTCCAAACTGCTTCCCAAGACTTCTTTCCTTTACCAGGTTCTGCCCAAACATTCAAGTATTGCATTATCAAAATAAAGGACTACCATTTAGAAGGCCAATACTTTCTTTTTTTTAAAAAAAAAAATCATAAAATAGGGCAGAAAGATACATATATGTAACACATCACTGGGCACTCAAAAATTAAATTCCAAAAGATGCCAAGCGTGGTTCAAAACCTTATAAAACTTTCTTTAAAACATCTGAGAAGATAAATAGCTAGAGACTATATAGCTGAGTATTAATTACTGTGGTGACCTAATTAGAAAAATATTTTATATAATTTCTCCTTCTGAAAGTATACATAACTCACATTATACACAACTTACAAAAAACCACAAACTCTTTGGAAAACCAACAACATAATCTAATATTGATCCAAATTGTGTTTTGGTGTTGAAGCTACACAGGTTTAACCCTCTAAACTAGTCCTTCTGAACTGTATAAAAACCACATGGATCTTGACAAAATATTGATGATGAAATTGGAGATACTGTTATTGTTGTATTTTTTGGCTTTCAGAGTCTATTTTGTTATGTTTTTTCAAGTTTTTTCCCCAGCTTATGGTGACTCTAAGGTGAACCTACCATGGGGGTTTCTTGCCAAAATTTATTCAAAAGGGATGCCTTTACTTTCCCAAGGTAAACCAATGGTTTTCCACGATCAAATAGGGATTTCAGCCTTGGTTTCCAGAGCTGTAGTTCAACACTCAAACCACCGCAACCTGCTTATAAATCTATACAGTACAATGCTAACATTGAACAATTTAAAATAGCATGAGAAAACAGTTAACAACATAAAATTGAAACAGCATACAAAGTGCATCATTAGATATAAAAACCATAAATTCACATATAAACAGATCAGAACTAAAATTAAATATTACATGTATTGTCAATTATGTATTGTATGTGTTGGCTTAGGTTTTTTCACTTTTTTCAGAATTTTCTAAACTCAGTACATGCATTCTACTGTTTTCACTGGTAGTTTTGTAAGTACCCCCAACTTTTCCTATTGAGGATTAATCTGGTTACCCTGTGATATTTACCAAGAGTGCAAGAACATCATGGCGACAACAAGGATTGCGCTTAGAATAAAACTTACCCAAGGGGCCTGCTGGTAGTGAAGCCCCTCTGGAGAGTTCTCCTGATGCGTTATTTTTACATGTCAGGAGTACTCTCCGGAGGGGCCTTCACTGCAGGAAGGCCCCTCGAATAAGGATGACTGTGGGGATTGATCCTCGGGACTGCAGAAGCAGTCCCAATAATCAATTTCCCCAGGCCCTCACCTGGAAAGATCCGGACTGTACCTTAAAATTCCGATCTTTCCAGGTGTTTTATTAATCTGGAGCAAACTGGAAAATCCTGGTTTTCTCTAGATAAATGCAGTTTTACCTGCAGCATCATTTGGACACCTCAAGTAAAACTGAGACAGGTCCTGCATTTGGGCATGTCTGGAAGGGTCCCCAGTCTCTACATTGCTGCAAGATCTCTTTGCATGCAGAATTTAATGCTGCTAGCTGCAATGTGATATCATGACAAAGTGATCATGAGATAAAATAAAAAGGTTGATCACCATTTTAAAAAGAGCCAGTGTGACGTAGTAATTTTAATGTTTGACTGTGACTTTGGAGAATAGGGTTGAAATCCCTATTGAAGCCATGAAAACCAACTAGGTAACTCTAGGCAACTCATATCCCCTAACTCAGACACAGGCAAACAGCTGGTAAACTAGCTGGGATTTCTTGGAGTTGGTCCAAAACACCTGGAGGGCTGAAGTTTGCCTATGCCTGTTATAACCTCTGAGGAAGACAAAGTTTAATTGATATCTGTACAATGAAATGTTTTAGCTTTTGTAAGCTACCTTGAGATGACAATGACGATTTTGTCAGGAAGGAGAAAAATTGGTATTCATTGGCTGTCAAGGTAGTACCATTAAGAAAAACAGACAGATTAGTAAATTTTGTGTGGTTAGAAGCCAATTTAGTTTATTTGAGTGTTTAATCAATTGCTTTGAAAAAATTAATATTTGAAAAGGGCCTATGAGGGCATAATCAGGTGGCAAGTATGGGAGTTATGAACAGCTTTTTATTCATTACTTCTGAACTCTCCCTTTCCTCAGCACCAGCCACCCAAGTTGTATGGATGTCCCAAATGCACAATAAGCGCATGGTTCGGTTCTGTTTATCATTACTTATCAGATGTTGTTCTTTCTTGCCTTTTCACCCAAAATAATCAATTTTCAGATTTATCACACCCACGAGTGCAGTTCCTGCCCACTCAATTTTTTTTTAAAAAAGAAATCCTTGGGGGAAAAAACTCTGGGGATACCGGGGCTTTCCCCTCCCTCCCATCCTGCTGCTCTGGAGGAGAAGGAAGACACTGATTTATTGTGCTCTGCAGTAGAGAAATCTCTTGGAATTCAGATCTGTGAATGGGAGAAAGAGAGAGGGAGGGAGGGAAGGGAGGGGAAGCAGGAGGTTCCTTTGAAGTGTTTCTTCTGCTGTGTTCGCAGCAACTCAATGGAACTCACCCATTACCATTGTGCCCTTGTATGGCTGGGAGGTGGGAGACCAGGATTTGCTGGGGTGTCTCTTGCATCGCAAACCTTTTCTTTAAGCAGAAGAATGTAACAATGCTCATTTCTCCCTCTTTCATTCTGTTTTTCAATTACGCCTCCCAGCTCCTCATACAAAAGCACTGCAATGTAGGGAACTTATTTGTGAAGCTTAAAGAACTCAGCAAAAGGTGACCAGTTACTGCCCTCCTAACCTGCATTTACATGGGGGAAGAGTCAGGAAAAAAGCAGTGTGAAGGAACAATAAAAGAGACAGCACTTTGGGCTACCGGCTTTTCTCTGATCTCTCCACTGCAGGAGTCCGAGATTTTTTTAAAAAACCTAGCTGTATTCACTGAAAAAACAATGATATTTTGAATTTTTGGTAATTTGAATGATTACATTAATTAAAAAGTTACCATGCCAGGCTCATGAAGCAGGATTTTGGGAGAGAAATGTCAATGCTTGGCAGGCGACTGCCCACAGGAATACCCCTACTCCCCTGTCACTGAAGCAATTCAATCCAGACAAATTGGACTGTTCCTAGCCTCATGTTTTTGTGTGTTTTCCCCAGTTATATCCCAGTTCCTGAGACCAGAAGATGATCTGTGACTCTCTTCTCCCCCTCCTTTTTTATGTCTGTTTTTGACATTTGCCTAATGAATCCTGAGAGCTGACAGGAAAAGCTCCATCATAAATTGTAGCCTCTATGGATTCAAATGTTTTAAAACAGGGCGTGTGCGTGTGCGTGCTGGGATTAGGTCCTTAGATACTTCATTAGAAATTGGGACACTAGTTGCATCAGAAATTTTATTGGAAAGGGAGTGTTTCTGAGTAATCCAGCTTTTATGCTTCCTAATATGAATAAGATAGCATAGTATCTAATCATACATTTTAGTTGTTAAGTTTTATTTGAAAGTGAACAATTCCACAAACCTTAAAAAATTAGAGCATCATTAATTGTACGAAATGACAATCAACTCTGAAGAAGCACCACAGCTTAAATACCTTTAGAATAGAAACAGTTCACACACACACACACACAAAGAATAGAGACAGTTCACACATTCACTAGTGACCATTATTGGTGAAAAAACCAGGGCCCTTAGTTTAGTGACCAGAGGTGAGTACTTCCAATAATTTCCCCGGATTGTTTCAAGATTCAGCATTGTGCTCTAAGGATAGAGTGTGTTAATGCCATATGTGGTTAAGCACTGAAATACTGTATTTTTAACATCCTTGTATATTTGGGTCCAGAAGCCTAATGTTGTGTTAGCGTCTTAAATTTAAAGCGCTGAGCCATTTAGTTCAACGTGGGCTTACTGGCAATCACTTAACTAAGTGCTTCATTACCAGCAAACCCATCCAGTTAATTATATACTAGAATAGTAATATGTGTCATCTTTATTCCCAGATGTTTTTAGTTTTTAGTGTAAATGCTACAGGTCAGCTTCCAATAAATCATTTTCAATGCACCACTAATGCATAATGATTAAGTAATATAGACAAATGTACAATCTTGATTACATATGTTGTGCAGATGGGTACGCATCCCATAGGCATGAGCTGGCACAAACAGAAATTTAATTCTGAAGACTGAAGATACAAATCTCAGATTATAGATATAATTATCCTTGAGTAAAAATATTTTGGTGCGCTTTTTTATTCTGTTATTTTATTGATTGTACTTGGGATTTTCATGTATATAACTTCTTATATCTTTTTATGTAAAGTGCCTTGGAAAAAGTAACTGAAGTATAGTACATAAATCTACTAAGCGAATTATACTATTCTATTAAACAGTTGCAACATCAACAACATATAGTACATTTCTCTAGACAAATTTATTTTGATATGTGCCGCAATATACAGTGGGCTTGATCCAGACTTACTGACTTTGTCATACTTGGAGTTGATCCATTTGAATAGACAGACTTAAATTAATCACAACTATTTTATTTCTATTGATTTCATACTCTAGGTTTGATTTGAGCCTGTATCCAATCAAGAAGGTGGAGTTGATCCAGATAATGTATTACTTTCTTCCATCATATTCATTGATTTCCTAGTCATGGATATATATATATTTTAAAAAATGTGATTAGTAAGATTTTGTTTCTTTTTCCTTTTTCTAAATGACCATCGAGGAGGATTCAGGAAATGCATTAGATATGGCCAAAGGACAATTAAGTCTGGCTCCAACCAAGTAACTACTAGGCTTGGGCCCGAATCAGTTGGACCGAAAGTGATTTGTAATATTCGGTGGTCCATTTTGTGTAATCCCCAAAAACAGAATGGGGAGGAGGGAACCAAAAAGCTCATCAAAATGGATCAAGAGAGCCAGATGTATTGGCTACTGGAGAGGATGGAGTTAAGTCTGCATTGTAACTGACACAGGGGTCTGCCGAGGGCTCCTGGAGAAGACCCTGCAGCATCTTTTCTCCTTCTCCGGCAGTGGAAAAGTTCCCTAGGCTCCTCCTCCACAGATGGCCCTGCTGGGAACTTGCTTTCCCAGTAGCATTTACATGGGATAACCATTGAAAAGTCTCTGAGTTCCTCTCGGAGAATGATGGGTGTTGAAGTTTTTCTCTCTCTGTTTCTCAGCCAATAAAAAGCATGGTTATGTCCATGCTCTGATTGACTGAAAATGGACACCACCAGCAATTACAATTCCCAGATCCCTCTCTTGCGGTTTGTTTTATTTTTTAAAATGTTATGGCAAAAACTTAAATTAATCCTTAAAAATCAGTAAATTGGTGAATTGTTCTGAAACTTGGAAGGTCTGCAGTTGTAAATAGGTTCTAAAACTGAGGTAGGTTTCATACAGATAGGCCTTAAAATGACTGAGGAATGAGCCTTTAAAGTTTCCCATTATTGACAATGGGTTGAATCTTTGCCGAATGAAAATTGCAACATTTCTCCTGATTTGAGTAACTTCCCAGTAACAGAATGAGGGGTTAGCCGAAAATTGTCCCCCAAATAGCATCTCTTTTGGCCAAATTGCACACCTCTAGTATCTCCCACATCTATACACACTTTATATTTAAAACTTTAAATGCATACTAGCCCATGCACCTAGACCAGTGCTTGACAGACTTTTGATACTTGGCCAAGTTGATAGGACTTCTTTGTGTCATCTCTCTCTTTCACAGAATCATAGAGGCCCTTATAAGTTTGACCCATTGCTTTCTAATAGAAATCTAGTGCACCCTTGGCTTGGAGACTTATCAGCAAAGGAAAGCCCACCAACTCTCTAAGTTTCTGACCAGCTTTGTGACTTTGCTCATCACTGAAGACATAGGGATGGGGGTTGTTCTTTTAGGGTAATATTAAAGATTTTGGATTTCCTCCACACCACTCAGTTGCAGTGTGAACTACATTGGGGAGTTGTACTCCTTTCCCCAGGTTGATTTGTAAACTGGCAAAGAGAAGAAAGAGCAACACTGCATATGGCCACCCCACTTCTACTGGAAAAGAATGACTGTGCAAGTATCCAACATGGAGTCTTCATTTTGCAAGGCACACTGTAGTCTCTTACACAGTTTGGGAATCATTGGAATGAAAACAACAATACATCTCTACAAAACATACACAAACATATGTTTCAGTTGTTATTTATACATTTTTCCCATCTATTTTTTTCCTAACTCAAACAATGAGATTATTTATTTCTGTTAAGAAATAATGTGATTACAGTATAATGGAATGGCAATTACAACACATATAAGTAAGAACCCATGCATACATACCTTACTTGTATACATACCTAAAACAGGTTTCCACTTTCTGGAAATACAGAAATGGTTTCCCTTTTCAGAATAATTTTCCATCTGTGTTATTTGAAAGACACAGGAAAAGTTGTAGAGAATGGCTGAATGAAATACAAAACCAAAAATACACTATATAATTAAACAGTAAGTTGTAGTTATTTTTTAAAAAACACTCTTATTTTCCACTGAGGGAACAACGCTCAATATCTTCTTTATATATGGTTTTGTCTGAAGAAGAATCCTTAGCATTCACCTAGTTTCTTCAGTACATTGTATTATTCTTCTGTTGACTAATGCCTGGTGAACTGGTTTGTTTTGCAGACCTTGTGATTTTCTTAATAACATTAAAAAAAAGAAACCTGGCACTTGGGGTGGCTAAATAATACAAGTCACAGATTATAAAATAATGTAAAACATGGGTAATGAAAGAGTGTATCAGCTCAAGTTCTGTGGAGCTGTCTTCAGTTGATTTTATCTTATTTTATGTATATGCCAGTCCTGTAATTCAGGCCCTAAATGATTAAACAGGCATCAAAAGTCATGGGGCTAGTAAGTATGTATGTATTGTTTTGGGGTTGTTGTTTTTAGTAATGAGTAGCCTGCTTTGTGTAGTGCTTTGAGCATTGAACTACAACCCAGGAGACCACAATTTGAATCTCCATTTCGCCTTGGATGCCCACTGGGTGACCCTGGGCAAGGAAGGCAAATCACCTCCGGACAAATTCTACCAAGAAAACTCTGCAATAGGTACATCTTGGCATCAGCATACTTTGGGAAAGAACTTGAAGGCACAGAATAATAATATTATCACCTGAAATCCTTGAAATATAACAATAATAACAATATATCTCAATTAGAGATTCAATATTTTATCAAAGTCACATGTATTGTTAACTGCTCCAAGTTGCCCTTGGGCTGAGAGGGGCGGTATATAAGCATAGTAAATAAATAAATAAATATTTATATGTAATTACAAGGCTATGTTTACAGGGCTAAAGCTACATTGGCAAACCCTCTTTGAACAACTTTTGATAAGCAGACCCTGTGATAGGTATGTTTTAGGATGGCCATAATTCCGAAATAAGGCACACAACAACAATCCACTTTATTACAAAAATTGGGAAAAGAACAGTGTTTTTTCCCCCCAGTTTTCAATATTACCTCTAAAAGACCTTTTCTAGTTAATTGTAAATACAGCAGTCCTGACCCAGACTGGGACATTAGTGAGAAGTGTGGGTAGGGCTCTTATACTCTTTGTCCCCTGCTGTGGTCTCAGTCTGGATTGGGAAGAAGACTGTACCAATAATTTACTTGGTCGAGAATGCATACATTCATATGAAGAGATCACATTCTATCCATGTAAAGTGCAGGCATCTGTCTCCTGACAGCTGGATTGGGACAGCTGTGGGAAGAAAAGGCTTAGAGGCCATTACTATCCAAGAAAATCTGATTAGGAGTGCATCTACTCGTGGAATCATGGAGTTGTAGTTTTATGAGATCTTTAGCCTTCTCTACTAAAATGTTGATGCCACACCAAATTATAATTCCCAAGGTTCCATAGTACTGAGCCATGACAGGTAAAGTGGTGCCAAACTACAGTAATTCTACAATGTAGTTGTGCCTGTTTTCCTGTGTTTACTTTTGTGTTCTACCCTAGAATCACATGGACACACATTTATTTGAAACAGTGGTTCTTAAGCTGTTGGCTGTGGACCACAGTGGGCTATGGGGATGAAAATCTGGTCTGCAAGCTTCCTTCCTCTTTATTTTTTTTCTGCTCCTTTTGTGCCACCTGCCACTCCTTCTCTGTTGCTGACCATGGGATTTGTCCTGTATCAGAAACTAGAGCAATGCAATTTTCTGAATCAGCACCCCAAACTGAATCTAAAGTTGACCAAAAACCGATTTGTAACACTTTTGGTACTAATGTTGGAGAGTGGTCCCTGGTCAAGTGATCCTTGGTCAAAGTGGTCCCTGGTCAAATGGTCCCTGGTCAAAAAAGATTGGGAACCACTGCTTTAAAGGTTAGCGCCATATCCAAACAATTGCTATAACATATATATATTGTTTAATAAGTTAATCCAAGAAATGGTGGGCTTAATCATCATCATAATCTTTGCCAGACTGTTATCCATTTTTATTTACCAGATACAAGCAACTGTTTGTAGTAATTAGTTGCAAGATAAACAGAGATCACTGTAATTGTGCTAAAGCGTTAACAAGAATCTGCCTCATTGGCACATGCAAGAGTCACTTGCATATTGTCATTGGCAGGAAAACTAATGAAAGACTTCTGGATCATCTCTGTATGATCAATGTAAGTTTTTATATCAATAGTCAGCTAGAAATGCTTGCTGTTCTACAGTTAAGAAGCTAGAGGAATAGATAACAAAATGGCAATACTATGAAAAGGTTGCCACAGACGGTTTAACTGCAACTAAGAGCCGAGGTTGCTAAAATTTAGTCCAGAAATACTTCACAGAAGCTCTGAGGCAACAGCCCTAGGATTACACCCAGGACATATATTAGATCTGGAAGCTGGCAAATGGTGCCAACCAAGGCAAAACGTACATCAATCAAATGCACTGGGTACAGAACAAACAATTGCTGGTGACTCTGACATAAACACAAATGCAGACAAAAGCCATGGAAGAAATTTGAAAGGCACAGATCCAAAAAGGTTTTATAAAACAAATTAATTAATTAATTAAGGGATCATTAGAGGGGTTTGAGAGTCACCAAAATCTGGAGCTGAAGAAGTGTGTCTGTCTGCCTGCTTGACTGCATGGCACTCATAGACTGTGCTTTCACCAGACTTGGTATAAAGCCTCAAAATATAGCTCTGTTTGGGTGTCAGGATTCCAATCTGGGCATACAGTTACAGCAATTGCTCCCAAGAAGTTTCAAAAATTCGAAGAGAGCCTGAATACTTTTTACTTGGCATGCTAGACATAGAAAACGATAAAAACAAAGAGATCCTGTTTAATTTTTCGGTCACAGCAGCCAGAATAGTTTATGCCAGGACATGGAGGTTAAAAGTTATACCAAAAAAGAGGACTGGTTAAATAAAGTGTTACAAATTATGAACATGGGTAGGCTTACTTACTGGCTCTCATCTAACCAAGGATTACCTAAAAATATATTAATTGGGACCTTGTTAAAGACTATTTAAAACAGATGAAGATTGATCTCATTTGTTGAAGATACTCAATCCTAAGAGAAGAAGGAGACGGTGGAGAAGCAGACCAAGTGAAATATAACCTTACATAACTTTTTAAGGACCATCGGAAGTTAGAAGGAAGTCAACAAACTTTTTTCCCTTTTTTATATACCCTTTTTTGTTTGTTTTTTGTTCTTTTTGTTATTCTTACTATTTTTCACTTTTTTCTGCTTTCCTACTTTCTATACAAATAAATGTTCTCCCACTTTCATTGTATAATCTATAACCTATTTTTTTTTGTTCCTCTTACTATCTTGATGCTTTACATTGAATATGACAAAATGTATTTTTTTTAAAAAAAATGTAATCTCGAAGGCTTTCATGGTCGGAATCACTGGATTGTTGTGTGTTTTCCTGGCTATATGCCCATGTTCCAGAAGCGTTCTTCACTTCACTTCACTTCACTTCACTTCACTTCACTTCACTTCACTTCACTTCACTTCACTTCTTAATTAGTCGCTCTCCACCAAGGTACTCCGAGCGACTTACAATCTAAAATAGCATTTATACAATCTAAAAACATTCAACATAAAAACATTCAACAGTGACTATTTGGCAAATTAGATTTGATTACTTAAATGCACAACCAAACAGCCAAGTCTTGAGTGTCTTTACAAAAGGTCGCAACTCCAACATTGCTCTAATGTATGGAAGCAATGAGTTCCACAGAATTGGAACATAGGCTGAAAAAGCTCTGCGCCTTGTAGCTTCCAGGTGTACCTCCCTAGGGCCCGGTATGTATAGGAGATTTTCCTGGGTGGATCGAAGTGACCACTGAGGAAGAAAAGGAATGAGGCGGTCCCTAAGATATAAAGGTCCTTGGCCATTTTGAGCTCTAAATGTCAGGATCAGTATCTTGTAAGAGATCCGATATTCTATTGGTAGCCAATGCAGTTGTTGCAGAATCGGTGTGATATGGGATCTTATAGATGATCCTGCTAGCAGCCTGGCCACTGCATTTTGGACCATCCGAATCTTCTGGGTTGTTGACTTCAGAAGGCCAGCATATAAGGTGTTGCAATAGTCCAACCTCGTGGTGACTGTTGCATGGATTATTGTTGCCAATGCTTCTACCGAAAGGTAGGATGCCAATTTCCTTGCCTGGCAAAGATGAAAAAAGGCCTGCTTACTTATGGCAGTGATCTGGGCCTCCATTGTCAGCAATGAGTCCAACACAACCCCAAGGCTTTTAACAGTGGCAGATGGAACCAGAGCTTCCCCATCGAAATCAGGCAGAGACTGGATTAATTCTGGTGGCTGGCCGGGCCAGAGTATCTCAGTTTTTGCAGGGTTCACTTTTAGTCTGCTTGTGCGCAGCCAATTCATCACTGCTTCCAAACACAGCCTAAAGTTCTCAGGAATCGCAGTTGTCCCAGGTTCGAGATGCAAGAGTAGCTGGGTATCATCTGCATACTGGTAGCACTCTATGCCAAAGCTCCGCACCAGTCCAGCAAGTGACCAGACATAGATGTTAAATAACAGGGGCGAGAGGATAGCACCCTAGGGAACTCCACAGCAAAGGCAGGAGCTCTCCGAGCTTTGGCCTAACCACTCCACCCTCTGTCTCCGGTCCCGGAGGAACGAATTGAACCATTTCAGGGCTAAACCTCGTACACCAGACATAGCCAATTGATGAATCAGCAAGTCATGGATTTGGCTACATCATCTATGGCAGGCATCCTCAGAGGTTGTGAAGTCTGTTGGAAACTAGAAATATATATATATATATATACACACACACACACACACATATATATATACCCTCATGAAATTTGTTCAGGCAGTTGATCTCTTGACTGTGGAGTGTTTTGTACTTCCATCTACTTAATGTCATGTTTAAACTGTTCCAATTTCATGTTTACCTTTAACAGAGCCTATTTA